CTAGTAATCTTGATTCGCCACCCACAGCTGTCCAATTGTCCAGCCCCTAACGATGATCTACACAAAGAACAAGATTGCAGCTACCAGGGTTTTCTCCTCTTGTACTAGCAAGAATAATTATGAGAAAAACCATATGGATTGAAAACCCTAGCCATATATTTATATAAGTCCAAACGGGCTTGGCCCGGTCCAGTCCAATAATTAATTAATCCATTTAATTAAATCCGGTCCTTAAATTAATTAATCCAATTAATTAATTTGGGCCTATAAATAACCAATCAAATTAATTAATTTATCCAACGATTGTTAAATTAATTAATTGACAAATTACAATCTTCCAATTCTCTTTTGTGTGTGACCCATCAGGTTCCCGATCACGATGCTTAACGCCGTGAAATATTAATTTGATTTAGTCAAAATTGATAAATTACAATACCCTTTTAATTTATCACCAGTCACACTCGTCGTCCCATATTGACATCTAGCAATGTGTCAGGACAATACATGTAACAGGAAATATCACGTGGTATGACAAAACCAAACTCCTTTGTTTACCGTGAAATTATAATCTTTTCGTCAATATGATCCAATCAATTACGAGATATGGAAGTGTGTCAATCTCGATTATCGATCGTATCTTTCACTCCACTATTAAGTCAATATAAGTCGAAAACTTCTTTTCGACTTATGAGTACACCTTGGCCAAGGATTTCATCATCGACTTAATTGAATGAAACGCAGATCATAATCTTCTACTATCTAAGAGTGACAAATCCTTTATTGGTCAATCACAACTTTCATATGATTCTTGACGTACTCGAACGATGCCGTATTAGCGGTCCTTTGTAGAGCAACATCCAACAGCGCCAAAGTATGACTGTTCTCATAGAATGTACCATGACGACCTCAAGTCAAAGGACCAATTCCACTATCGAACGTTAGAGATTAACCACTGACACTCAGATAGTTATCCACGTGGAATCTCTCGGTGGGTCTCCAACGTTTTGTTCTATAACAAAACATCCACTTGTTCGTTTAAGTGTCACCACACTTTAACTTGTGAGATCAGTTACTTACTTTATAAGTAAGAAATGCCACATATGATGGTCTATCCGTAATAACGATATCCGTATCTCGTTATTACTTACGATCACGGACGATTTAAGATTCAATCAGATGTAATTTGTATCTCACAATCACAACTCCTTATGATTAACAAATTATGAAGATTTGAATCTACGGACTCTATTACTTATTTAATTGTCTATTAATTAAATAATAGATTTGCTATTAAATTGCATTAATTATATATCGAAAGTATTTATGTCCAAAGTTGATTAGACCTAAGGCGTAATACTTACAATAGCCCCTATCTATTGATGAAAAGGGAAAAACAATCTTATATGCAGGAATATGAAATTTTGTACATTCATAATTATTGATCAATGGTGCGCCGGTTATAAGTTTTGTGATTTCTAATTCATTTTAATGCACATTAGTGAATTATTCTTCTTATACTCATCGTTACATGTTTTAAATCTTTTGTTAGTAAATTCTTCTTGTGCATTTTAACTGTAGGTACTGCTTTAATGTGAATCTCTCACTGCAGTGGAACCATGGATACACCAATTAATATAGAAACATACGAAGTTTAAGATATTTTTTTCACTTGTGCGAGTTTAAAATGCACTTATATATAAAAATTGTTCTTCATTTTTATGAATCTAAAATGCATGATCATAGTTAATTTGAAGCTTCTTTTCAGTTCTTGATAAATACTAAAGTGGTATTAAAAATGAGATAACATATAATGAGTCTCGTAAAATAATAACGTCAAATGATGGGTTTGGGGAAGCCTTGTTTTAATCAATGATAATGAACTAGGAATTTTGGCATGACGAGTAGTAGGCAATCAAGGACATCTCCACCTACTATTTAGAAAGTGAGTTGCTAAATGTTAAAGGTAAGTAAACCTCTCATTATTTTCATGTGTACGTCATAGAGTTAAATGTACAAATATGTTACTTAAATTGTCCTTATGTGAATTTGATATTTAATTATTACATTTTATGTCATTAATACTTCTCATGACATATTCATGCACATCAGTGCATCCATAAGTATTCAGGAAGTTCGAAGAAAAAAAAAATTTCCAAATAACAAGAGTCAATGAATATTTTAAAAAGTAATGTATCCCAAATATTTTTAGTACGAAGTGTATGTATATGCCATGAAAGGTGTGAATGGGAAATGGGACGTGGGGTACACCCGACCAATGGTCGATATTTAATGATAATGATAATTTTAACCGCTTTGCGGTAATACCGGTAGGATTTGGCAGGGTTCCAAATATTAACTATCCACTTCATTCTGATTAAATAGGCGATTCACGACGTTAATGTTAATTTTTTTTTTAAATAAATGAAAGAAAGGGGATACATGTTGAGAAATATTTTTATCTTGAAATAATTCACGTGTACATCATATGTATGAGATTTGCTTACTAAGCGTTAGCTCATTCCACGTTACCCCTCACCATTTTTAGATGATGAAGACATGATGATTCGAGAAGACTATTTGTGGTGAGACGGACTCGATACTAATACATTCAATGTTGACTCAATTTGAAATAAGTTTAACTTTTAATTTGATCATCTTATATTTTTATTAAATATAAAAGTTTTCTAAAATTATTTTCTTAAGTGAAAGTCGTTAATATCTTTTATATTAAAGAAAAATTTATAATCAAATTTTTAGATTTGAGGGTGTTACAGATTTTGTTTGATTGTTAAGTCAGGGTTTGATATTGTGAAAAAAAAATGATAAATATACGACATTGAGAAGTATCCCTAATCAAGAAATAAGTATCTTGTTTGTTGGGCTCTCATTGTTGACTTTTGAAACTTACATTCGATATAAAATTCATGATATCTTGTTTGTTGGGCTCTCATTGTTTATTTTTGTTAAGTAATACCATGTAGGACCAGGGGTGCTCAACAATTGTAACTCGTGAAGCTTTCAGTCATTTAAACTAATGCTATGTAGCATTATTCAATTGTGTAGTCACTATATTTGTTTCGACATGATCTTTAAAGGTACCTAGTTGGTTCTTATGAGTTAGATAGTGCCCATTAATAAGGTATGTACCTTTTGTTTTATCTTCGTGAGTCGTCGTCGTGTCACATAATTGAATTGAGATTAGATCAGGACATATCGGTGCTATTTTAGAAGATGTGATATTTATAAAGATAAATTGTAATCACGTTGTTCTCGATAAACAAACACCAGATGACGATATTATTGTTCGACTATCAAGACATTATACTCTAGGTAGGTAGGAGGCTTTTTGGACCAACAAAACATCATCATTAAACAAAACATGTTAATATTGTTAGATATTCATAAAGATTTTTAGAAATATATTTAAGCTTATTGACATCATGATCTAAAAATTGTACAATGAGAGCACAATTTATTAGTCCTTGTTTGATTCTCATTCTTTTAAAAATTTATTTTTAATCACATATTTTTCAATAAAATAATATTACACATATATTTAAAAAATTTCTTTAATTTTTAACCACACATTTTCCATCAATCTACTATTTATGATGCATTATTTCCCCAAAATGGAGGATCAAACAAGGGCTTAATGTATAATTTTGTTTAATTAATTGCATTGTATTATTAAAACTAAAACGTCTTTACATATTATGCCTTTTATTCTAATCGATATACATTATTTAATTAAAATAGTACATAATAGGTAGTCGAGAGATCAAAGGAATAATGAAAAATGTGAAGGATATCACCGCTTGACTATGATCAACTTCAAGGTACATGGATCCAATGGTAAAGTTAGCAAAAATTTACCAATTTTCACCACTCTTTAATCTTTTGATCAATTCAAGGGTGATTAATTTAGTCAACCTTGTGTACATTCTCCCTTTTTCATTGACTTTTACTATCTATGTATTGGTCCATTGGCAAAGTATGCAAAAATTTCCCGAGTGTAAACACTCATTAATCTTTTGATCATAGTAGTGATTAGAGGCTTTGATCGGGCACTAATCAACCGTCAAATTGTTGGTGATTAGTCAACCTATGTGGGTATTCTGTCTTTTTCGTTGACATGTACCAATCCATACATGAGTCCAATGGTAGAGTATGCAAAAAATTGCCAACTGTCACCCCTCCTTAATATTTTGATCTCTAATATTATCGGAGGCCTTGATTGAGCACTGATCAACTGTCAAGTTGATGGTGATTGTTGACCTTGTGGGCATTATGTCTTTGGAGTGACCTTGTATATGAGCATTGATCAATTGTGGAGTTGTTGTTGATCAACCGACCTTGTGGGCATTTTGTATTTTTTTGTTGGCAAAGACTGCGAAGTTTCTCCCCTCATTCATTGTCAACGTGTGACCAAACGACGTTACTTATCACGTCAAGTCAGCAAAAGTTGTTAAAGTAAAAAAGCGGATTTACTATATGGTTTAAGCCTAGAAATATAACTAACACTAAAGTCACATTACGTTTTCTTGTATATGTTAATTATTTAAAAAATATTTGGATGGCAATTTATATCACATGATAACCTCATATGCAATGTAATTAGTTGTGTCGAAACAAACTGAGAAAATTTTAACGAGTGATGGGTGTGAACACTTTAACGATATTTTCAAGTGAAGTGAGATTTTCTTACACCATCTAAGCTTCAATTATTTTTAAAACAATAAAGCAATTTCTAGGTTAAACCTAAATTTGAGTTCTTTTCAAAATAATTCTAAGCTCAGGATTGAGCATCAGTCTAAAAAATTCATTTATCTTTGAACTCATTTTTAACCACATTTTTTGAATAAAATAATTTTGCAAGTAAATTAAATTTTATTCTACTTTTTAATCACTTTAAAAAAAAAAGAAAAATCAATTTTCACAAATTCTCTTCTTAACAGATGCGTAGACTCGGGCCTAAACCCGGGCATAATTTAACTACCCCTTCAGATGCTCTCACTCCGGAAAAAGCATGAGAAAGGTTAGCCCTATCAAGGAAAGCATCTTCTTCTAGAGAACTCCTCTCTCTCTCTCTCTCTCTCTCTCTCCATAGTCGGAAAACTCCAGATTTTACTGATAACCGATTCGAAACCATGACTGAGAAAAACCCATCAAGAAAATACATGTACCCACGTCAAAAACTACTTGTGATGTACAATAGTTGATCTACAAATTTGTCAAGGAAGAATAGAAAAAAGGATCTGCAAGAATGGAGTCTCGAATTGAATGCATATCATCCACTGATGGCATTGATGCGGATCAGGTCCCCCACCCCCATACTTACTCTAAGTTTTCATCTTCCAAGCCATCTAGCATTAATAATCTCAACAGTGTGGTGATTCATCCAGGCTCCAGTGTCCATGAGCTTCTTGAATGCCCTGTTTGTACCAATTCTATGTACCCTCCTATCCACCAGGTTTTGCCCTTTTTTGCTTTTTGTCCCTATTTTTTCCAATTTTGATTAATTGGTTTGTGTCGATTTCATTCCAGATTCTATTTTTTTCTTGTAATTTTGGTTCATTTTGAAGAAACTTGGGTTATCCATAGCTATCTTGATGGGTTAATCGATGCAAGATTGTAGCTTTTTCTGTTTGATCTTGGCAGTAGTATGTACTAGGTAGACCCTTTTAAAAAGGATGTGCTGATTGGAATTTGCGTTCCAGGTTTGGGAAATTGCTGAATTTTATTAGGAATTAAAAAAATGGGTTATCGGGCTCTCCTGCATTTTATTTCTTGTATACATATGATGCTGATGCAGCGAATTTGGTTTGTAGAAGAGCATGTTAGGATAATGGATAAATAGCCTTTTATTTTTCAGAATAAGCTATGTTGTCGATTTGGAAAAAGTAGTCTTGTATCATGTTCATGATGCTGAAAAACTGGTTTCCGAATTGGTCTCTCAAATCTCTCTCTCAGATTTTCATCTGGTGTAAGGTGAATCCCATTAAACCGATCAGTGATAATTGTATGTAGGAAACTTGGGTCATCTTATGACTTGGAGTTTGGAAAGAATATAACAGAAAAATAAACCATATCTCATATGTGGATTACTGAGATCAGAAGAGATAGTTAAAGGAGCATTAGGCCCGGGCCAGCATTAAAATTGTTGAAGAAGTTCATTTTTAAATGGTCATTATAGATATGCCAGTTGGCATTATCTGTGCCTTAGGCCAAAAGAGCCAAGCATGATTATGGATCTGAAAAAGCCCTAGTCATCCAAATTCCTTATGAGATCATTAAATGCTTTCATCAATTATTTAATATCAAGAAATGAGTATCTTATACTTTATACTGAAGTTGTGATCTTTTGTTATCTTTCTTCATCTGTTATATTTCGGCTGAAAAGGTGACATGATCTGATGTTGGTTGAATTGAATGCAGAAGCGAAGCTTTTTGTTAAAAATTGGAGATCTATTATTATTGTTCAAAAAAAGAACCTCTATTTTTGGATTCTGGTTGTCATTGACTAAAAATGTGCATTTAGGATGCAGAATTTTAACTTAGTCAATGCTGTTTTATACCCCCACCCCCAGTTTTAGAAAAAGAAAGGAAAGAAAAACGAATATGTTCGATGCTGTAACAAAAGGTCTTTATAAAGTCAATTGGCGAATAAGGGCTTTAGCTCATAGTTTTCACTCTTCGTTGGGCTTCTGGTGTTCAAAAATTGCCTTTCTAGCCATGGTGATATTACACCTGGAATGCAGAGTAAGGAAAAGAAGATAAAAATAGGCATCATCTTTCCATGCCGTGATTTTTCCCCTCAAACAATAAATGCCCAACTATTTCTTTTAATGAAACCAAGGCGCCTTAGACCTGTAACCTTTGCTTTCATACTTCAAGGGAGTTACCTTGTGCTTTTCTAATCTTTCTTATTAACTAAACCTGAATAATTCGATTTGTGTTGAATGATTAGCCTCTATTTTCAAAAATGCACCAGACAGGCCAGTTCAGCCTGGAAACAAGAACTGGCTGGATTACATGGCTAAAACTGTTTAGAAAGAAGCCGGCAAGAAGTTGGTGAACTGGCCGCACAAACACATTTTTTATAATTGATTTTCTGAAAGAAGGAAATTCATTGAATAATCTTCTTCATCTTCAGTCTTCACCCATCTTCATGAGCTAGTTTCTCAAGAGCTTTAATATTTTCCTCGGCATGCACCTTGTGAGTATGTGCCTATGTGGAGAACAAAAAGGTTAAAAAGAAAGGGCAGTTTGGTGGGTATTACAGAACAACAAAAAAGTCGAGAAGTACCGTGCGCCCCCCATTGGTGAAGAGCTGACATCGAGGTGCCAAACCTTCCCGTCGAGGTGAGCTTTTGGGAAAGATCAATCTGTTATCCCAAGGGAAGTACTAACCGATTTCGTTGGTACCATTCAATTGAATCCAGGGGTGGACCCAGACCTTTAGTATTGTGGGGTCAAAATTTTATAAACAACATAATATCAATGAAAATAAGTTAATATGTATTTTGACACTTTGAAAACATCGTATAATTACATCGTTATTAATATTATTAAATAAATTTTACTACTTGTATAGTTTTGTTTATCATTTCACTGGCAAATGCTAAGAATATAGAAATTAAATGAATTGAAATAAAATTCAAGTTTAGTTCAGGAAGTAAATGAAATTCAAATTTAAAGCAAATATAATTTGAAAGTAATTCTAATTGCATTTAATCCGTAACGATCCTAAAAAATTTACGTCATATTTCATGTAAGACTTCTGAATGAACGATATAAATTATATTGAAAAATTTATCGTGCAAAAATAATAATTAATTGAATTTTTTAGAAGAAAAAACGAGTTAGACGTCTTTTTTGAGGCATACGTTTGATACATATTTAACTATCTTCGATATCCGTTTGGATCATTCGATATGAAAACGATGTAGTTTTCGAAACAAACTTTCACATGACATAGACAATTTGTGGATTCAGATAGTATATAATCGTAAACGAATTTTTAAAATTAGGATATTATCGAAATTCTCAAAATACTAGTTTCAAAGGACCTACTTTAACATGTCATAACTTTTGCTATAGTTGACCATTTCGCATGCCATTAATGGGTGAAAAATTAGGTCATGAGTATTTCGAAATGATATTAAGAATGCAATATTTTGACTTTATTTGGGATCCCGATGAATGCATCAAAGTAGATTGTTAAAAAAAAAAAAAAAGGGGCAAAATTTTGTGGGTTCATTTGACCCCATATGACCCCATGTGGGTCCGCCCCTGATTAAATCCAATATGATCATTCTCCCGCTATATGGGTGATGCCTACACCTAAGAGACTTTAACTCCTCCCGTGGAGAAGCTGACCAACTATAAAAAAGAGAGGTAGAGATGAATGGTGAAGAAGTGGAATAAGGGCATTGCAGATTGGCTTGTGGCGCTGTTTGAGTTTCCCTTTCATTTTCCTGTTTAGCTCTTCCTATGATAGAGAAATAAAGAGTGGAGTTAGGTACTTTTTTAGAGACAGTGTGTGTTGAATGTGGGTATTATTTTTAGAATGAGCAGATTTGACTATATTGAGACAGTAATGCTCAAATATCGAAGAGGAAAAGAATAGTATTTTTTTCCCCTCTTTATAAATTGATTTTGATATTGTTGATGTGAAAATCTAATTGAGCATCGATGAAAATTAAATTTCATAACCTAATTATTTATTTCTTAGCCTCCAGTTCGACCCTTGACCTTTACCTTTTCCAATTTGAAGCCCGGTGATACTGTATCTTAGTCTTGCTATATTCTTATCAATTTGTTCTTGATCAAAGAAAAGGCATATCCCTTATGATACATGAGATCTGGCTCGGTTATATTGATAGAGTGAATAGATCTATCATTTCTTGAAATCTCTTTTTTGATTCAAAATCGTGGTGTAACTTGTATCTTGGATGGACAAGAGGCTTTGAAATCTTTGCCATCCCTTGTCTCATTCAATCATTGTTGTGGAGCTACCTGGTTTTTCTTGGAAGAAAGTTTTCCATGTTGTCTTACTAAAATGGATTTAGGCATATTCCTTTCACTTTATGAATTAGCATTCCAAGTGCATATTCGTCTGGATTGCTTTTGTCATGAAATAGTGGCTCACCTATTCGTCAAGGGTCTCTGAGATATCAACTCTCGTATCTCTGGTATGAGCTCTGAGACATTTTTTTTTTTTGTAAACAGGCTTTACTTCAAGTCATAGAAAAACATGCAAACACATGGATAGTATATGTGTAGACAGATTCCACGGACCTAAAACTGGAACCATGCAGCTCCTCTTCATATCAATACCTTGAACTGAACCTGTCTTTTTTGTTCTTATCGTCTGATGTACTTTTGTATTTCTTTATGAATGAAGCAAAATTTATTTTATGAGCTCTCTTGACATCACATTGTCAAAAGAGGCTGGTGCAATCTACTAAGCAGAACAACACTATCAAATGCACTCACAGAGTCACAGTGGTTTGCGAGTGTACTTATAAATCATATTTTTGCGTTTAGTTTTTATGCGTGTTGACAATATTGATCGCATTTAAGTGCTCCGCAGATTCATAAAGTGTCTTTTTACTGCAGTGCCACAATGGACACACACTCTGTTCCACCTGTAAAGTACGGGTTCACAATCAATGTCCCACTTGTAGACAAGAACTTGGTGATATTCGATGTTTAGCGCTTGAAAAAGTTGCAGAATCACTTGAACTTCCTTGCAAGTATTTCTCCCTCGGATGCCCACAAATCTTACCGTACTACAGTAAGTTGAAGCACGAGGTGGTTTGTAATTTTAGGCCTTACAATTGCCCATATGCTGGCTCGGAGTGCTCAGTAGTCGGGGATATACCATACCTGGTCTCTCATTTGAGAGATGATCACAAGGTAGATATGCACTCCGGTTGCACATTCAATCACCGCTATGTTAAATCAAATCCTCAAGATGTGGAGAACGCTACATGGATGCTGACTGTAAGGATACTCTTTTCCTTCTCATTTTGGTTTGGATTTTATCTCATCTTTGTTGCTGAAAAGATGTTATATATATAATATATAATGTACCTTCAAGGATTTTAATGCCCATTTGACTCATTAGGCTTTTCAATGGCTCATAGCAACAACAGTTAAGGGGGTTCACCGAACAACTTGCTGTTTGATTAGATCCTGAGTTGTGTTGCAACTCCAGCGAGACAATAATTCCCAATGAATTTAGGGTTCTCTACGTAAATTCGTCTTGCCATTAACCTGCTCTGCACATCACTAGATCTGTTTGGAGATCTAATGTGACAAGATCATGAGACCATGTTAATTTTGTTTACTCTCTTTTTCTAACTTGCGGTGTTGCAACTCCATTCGGAACAAAATAATAATATTTGTAATTTATGTAATGTCTCCACGCCCATGCCCATAACTGGAAATGCTTTGCGTAATTATCAAATAGAATTCATTCTATTGCGACATCAATGTTAATCTTGAACCCAGCTAATCCATGCCAAACTTTCTTGATTATTTTCTAGCTTTCCCGTTTTGAATATTGAGTGTGTACACAATTGATGTCCTTGTGCGTTGTAACTGCTGAAGTCTTTGCCCATCATTTTTTTCAGGTTTTCCATTGTTTTGGCCAGTATTTCTGTCTTCATTTTGAAGCTTTTCAACTTGGTACGGCTCCTGTTTATATGGCATTTCTTCGATTCATGGGAGACGAAGTGGAGGCTCGAAACTACAGTTATAGCTTGGAGGTTGGGGGGAATGGCCGGAAACTTATCTGGGAAGGCACCCCACGGAGCATTCGGGATAGTCATAGAAAAGTTCGGGACAGCCATGACGGCCTCATTATACAGCGTAATATGGCACTTTTTTTCTCGGGAGGAGATGGAAAAGAGCTTAAGCTTCGTGTAACAGGGCGAATATGGAAGGAACAGCAGAATCCAGATGGTGGAGTGTGCATACCAAATCTTTGCAGTTAAATGCTGCTTTGTTTTATTTTTATTTTATTTTTTACCCGTTCATGTCGAACTTTCTGTTAACTGTTATTAGTGGTTCGATATGTTTAATGTTGGCAAGAAATGTATGTATATGTTGTGGAGGTTTCAGCTCTTATCAATAAGCTTTTATTTTTGAAATTGCTGATGTTGTGAGTTCAATACAGAGAGATATTTTTGAAACTTGCTAAGCAAGTGTACATTTTCTTATCTGTCTAAACTTTTGCTTTTTTTAATTTTTCATTGAACTTATTTTTCATTTTTAAGGGTCTGTTTGAGTCACATTATTACAAAAAAATACATTTGTAAACAGTGATTTGACATTATTTCAACTACACATTCTTCAATAAAATAATATTACACGTAGATAAAAAACTTTTCCTTATTTTTTAATCACACATTTTCCATCAATACATTATTCAAGAATGCATTATTACCAAAATAATGTGGCTCGAACACTTCTTAATCTAAGACCACGTTGAGATGAAAAAATTCTCATTGAAGGTCGTATGTATAATATTTGGGACTAATGCATGATCTGCATTTGAACTAGATTGTACATATACAAGATTAAACTTTGTACATAACCGTGCCTTGAGTCGTCCAAAAATGAATGCTACATTCCAGTAAATGGATTTACGCACTTTGTAGAAAGCAAAGTTCTCGAAATTATTTTAGAAATTTACTGAAAAAAAGAAATATTTATAGGGCATAATTCGGTTTTTCAGTTTAAAAATTGACGCTGCAGATAAATCCTCACTGGATGCCTAAAAACTTCCCCAGGGTTTTAGGCATCGTTTTAAGTGCTCTCTCCTGTTCTTCACATCCATGGAGTCATTGAACTCTATCGTCTCCATAAATTGTCAAATTTCTTCTAAAATTCCATTTTTATCCCACAATTTCCCCTTCACAACATGGAAAAACATGAAATACCCATCAAAAGTAACCGTACCCAACTCTAGAAGTCCTTCTTTACAGCCTCAGTTTATTCTCTGTTTACCCTGCTCGAAGAAATTCCAAGTTTCAGCTCATTTTGGCAGACCCACAAACCGCCAAAATTATCTGAGGAAGAAACTCACTGAACCCCAACAACAGGTGAATGATATCGAAAACCCAGTTCATAAATTCAATGAAATTGATATTCCTGAATCTAATTTTGATAGTTATGGTAAAGAAAACAGTAATCTAGACAAAATGAGCAATCTTGATAAGAGTTTTGGTGATAATAATGTCGAACGTGGCAGTGTTATAGAACCGGAAACAGAACCGAGAAGAAAGATTTTGGGTGAGTCAGTTTTGTGGAATAAGTTAGAGAGTTGGGTTGAGCAGTATAAGAAGGATACAGAAATGTGGGGCATTGGAACTGGTCCTATATTTACTGCTTTTCAGGATACTGAAGGTAAAATTAAAAGGGTAATTGTGAACGAAGATGAAATTTTGAGAAGAAGTCAAGTAAATCCGGGGGATGATAATGAAACCGAGGGCTTAGCTGAAGTGAATTTTAAAATTTCTTTTGCTAAAGATTTGGCTAGAGAAATGGAGAGGGGTAGCGGGGTGATTCCGAAGAATAGTTCAGTGGTGAAGTTTGTAATGTCAGGTGAAAAATCAGATTTTCTGGACGTGATTCAGGGTGTTAAAATAAAGCCAGGCACATTTTCTAGAATGTCGAGAGTTGGGTTCATAGTATTGTGTGGTTTATTTGTGGTTTGGGCAGTTAGAGGAGTCTTCACATTCAGGGAAGATAGTGAGGAATACACAAGGTTGGAGAAGGAAATGTTGAGGAGGAAGATGAAAGCTAGAATGGAGAGAGAGAAAATGGTGAAGGGTAGTGTAGAAGTTATGCAGGATTCCACAGAGTCAACAAGTGTATATCTCCGGAGGCCTCAGCTTGATAAGGAAGAAGTTGTGAACAACATTATTAAAGCTAATGTATTGGATAATGAGTTGGCAGTAATGGAGTATTCGGGTTATAAACCTAACAATTTTAATGACAAAATTGAAGAAATCAGAGCAATGGCGAGGCATGCACGGGAACTTGAGCAAAAAGGTTCTTCAGAGGACAATAGTGATGGAGAGGATGGTGGTGCGAGGTCTCACAATGACCTTCCTAATGGACAGGCAATGGATATTACAGATTCTGAAGAAACTTCTATGCTTACATCATTTGGTGATTTCAAGGAAAATATTGGACTTCCTACTGATGAAGCTTCAATAGAAGAAATTCCGATGCAAATTTGTAACATATCAAATTCAGATGACAGCGAGAATTCGACACTTGAGGTTAGCAACATGAAACTTGGTTTGAACTCCTCATATTTGAATGAAGTTAATTTACATTCTGGTAAAAGTTCTGTGAGAACTAAATTGCGGGTCATAAAATCCGTTAAAGAAGCTCGAGAATACCTCTCTAGAAAGAATGACAAAGCAGACGTAAATCAAGAACATGTAGCCAGAATTAAAGAACAAGTTGACACTGTTTTAGTTATACCAAGTACAAATGAAGCATCTGACAACAATATCAAATTTTCCGACTCTTCATTTTTAAGTGGAAGTCACAAAGATTCCAGTTCTGAGGTAAAGGAACATGCTTCAGCTAACAATGGGGACTTTGAAGTGGTAGACGGAAAAGTGAATGGCCTAAATTATCTAGATAACAGCTGGATGCCCTCAGGTCATGGAGTGAGCCTCAGCAGTCAAAATAGAGGTCATGAAGATTCAAGCTTGTTGGAAAAAGCATCTTCTTCGCATGAGAAGCATAATTCTGAAGGTACTGAAAACATTGCAGCAGGGATGGATCTTGAAATGCCTGAAACAACCAACAGTAATGAAGTTAATGGCGGAAGTGCAAAGATAGCATCATCTCGAAATAAGGAAAACTGGATTGAGAAAAATTTTCAAGAATTTGAGCCCATTGTGCAAAAGATTGGAGCTGGCTTTAGAGATAACTACTGGATGGCAAGGGAAAATACAAATCAAGAGTTAGAGCTTAAGTCCCTAGGAGATGACAATGAACTCGAGTGGATGAAAGATGAAAAGCTCAGAGATATTGTATTCAAAGTTAGAGAAAACGAACTTTCAGGAAGAGATCCGTTTTATCTCGTAGATGAAGAAGATAAATGTTCATTTTTTGCTGGCCTTGAGAAGAAAGTTGAACAGGAAAATGAGAAGCTAATGAATCTGCACAAATATTTCCATTCCAACATTGAGAACCTTGATTATGGAGCAGGTGAAACTTTTTCTTTCTTCTTTGATCTAATAGTATTTAATATGAAACTGAATAATTCAATAATTTTGCTAATTATGTTGAATGACAGATTCACCGTAATTTTAAATCCTGGATCTACCCTTGCCTTCTTCTATTATTCGATAAGATAGATTTTCTAATGTGACTTCTTTTTGTTATTGTAGATGGCATTAGCTTGTATGATCCACCAGAGAAAATCATACCTCGGTGGAAAGTTCCCCCAGCAGAAAAGAATCCCGAGTTCCTTAACAATTTCTTAGAACAGAGAAAAGAACTTCTTGGTGAAAGCATTAACGATTCATTTCTCGTAAAGAAGACTGACCAAAATGTCCTTCAGAAATCTGAAGAACCTTCATCTCATGACAATATGCCTAGGTCAAAAGATGTCTCTGATGGAAGTACAGAACTTCGGAAAGAGGCTACAATATCTTCAAAGACTATTATAGAAGGCAGTGATGGTTCCATGAGAGCTGGCAAAAGGTCTGGGAGGGAGTACTGGCAACACACTAAGAAATGGTCCCAAGGATTCTTGGAGTCGTACAATGCAGAAACAGACCCAGAAGTCAGAGGTGTAATGAAGGAAATGGGTAAAGACTTGGATAGATGGATCACTGAGAAAGAAATACAGGAAGCAGCTGACCTAATGGACAAAATTCCCGAGAAGGGTCGTAAATTCGTTAAGGAAAAACTCGAAAAAGTCAAAAGAGAAATGGAACTATTTGGACCTCAAGCTGTTGTTAACAAGTATCGTGAATATGCAGAAGAAAAGGAAGAAGATTATTTGTGGTGGCTAGATCTACCCTTCGTACTGGTACATCCTGTTACCCTGTAGTGTTTATCCAAACATTCTAATGTGAATAAAGGCAAACATCATTCCTTACTGTAAGATAATACAATATAAGTACACTTCTTGCCCTTGTTTTTCATTTGATTGCAGACCAATATTAGTATCTATAAAGTGATGGCTGAATTAGTACTTTTATTGACTTTCTGGCTTGCAGTGCATAGAATTGTACACAGTAGAAAATGGGGAGCAGAGAGTGGGTTTCTACTCACTGGAGATGGCTGCTGATCTTGAATTGGACCCAAAGCAGTATCATGTGATTGCTTTTGAGGATGCTGGTGATTGTAAGAATCTTTGTTACATTATACAAGCTCAAATGGAAATTCTAGGAAATGGAAATGCCTTTGTTGTTGCCAGACCTCCCAAGGTATTTCATACCTTTATGCTTCTTCGATTGTGTTCTCATGGATTTTGTTTCGGTTACTTTTGAATGTGATGTTTATCTTTCTTTATATTTGTGAAAAACTCCCCCACCCCCAGGAAAATGGTTAAGAGAAAAAATGAAGTTTTCTTCTTGGGGGCGAACTCGAATAATGTACTTCACCTTTTCTGATTCTCTGCAGGATGCTTTTCGAGAAGCCAAGGCGAATGGTTTCAGTGTGACTGTCATCAGAAAAGGACAGCTGCAGCTCAATGTGGACCAAACATTGGAAGAAGTAGAAGAACTAATCTTAGAAATAGGTAGTAAGATATATCATGATAAAATCATGCAGGACCGTTCTGTTGATATAAATGGATTGATGAAGGGCGTATTTGGGATCAGCAAGCCAACCAAGAGGTAATTAAAAATCTTATAAACCTTGTAAGGGTTTCAATCTGGTTCTAGTCCTGGTATCTGTTAGACAACATAGAAGTAATATCCTTTTAGGTTTTCTTGGCTATTAGTCATTCTAATTTCTTGCTCCAAATTTTTTATTCCCTTTTACAGGAAGAGATCGAAGCGGAAACTGAAAAGGCGCACGAAGCTGTGAATGAGAAATTTATTCGGAGGATTGTCATTGAGGTATTGGTTTTCTCATGCCCTGTCACCTTTGCCTGTTTTAAGTTAATTTT